TTTTTTTTCTGACACCTGACAATTTTTTTTTTGACAACTGACACCTGACAATTTTTTTTCTGATACCTGACGATGTCCTAAAATGTACACCGTAGTAATGTGATGTAAAGCAAACTGCATAACAGCTGGCACTGAAAACTCAAAACCATCAAACCTTTGATGGTTTAAAAACACCAAATATCAAAGTAAAATTCTGTTGAGCAGAACCAACACTAAACAGAGAATTAGAAAATCGATGCACACAAATATTTTATTTACTTAAAATAAAAATGAAAGCTAGACTTTTGGGAGAACACGAGAACTAAATGTAACAATAAAGTTGAAAATAGGACGAAAACTGTCTTTATTTATTTTTTATTTCTATTTTTTGGTCAAATTTGTGACTCAGCAGCTTTCACATGGTGTTGTCTTTGTATTGTAATATCTGCCCCTGTTAATTACCCTCCATATTATAATAATTAAGAAAGGTAAACAAACAGTGAAACTAATAAAAACAACAGCTGAAACGAGCAAACCCACTCTCTGGAAACATGCAAAAATCCAGAACGAAATAAAACTAAAACTAAATAGAGTTTGGTGTGCTGAACTCAGACTTACTGTAGATGATGGCGATGATGCCCACCAGCAGGAGGACACAAAGGATCTCCAAACATGCCAGCAGTAGACGGAAATTGGAGCATGCAGCTGCTTTGCCTTCTGCTTCTAATGAGAAATTTGACGTCATTATTATGAGAAACTGTCACATGGACTTTTACTGTTGTGTGATGCTGCAGCTCATTCCTTTGCTCGTGTGTTGTCTGTTTTCTTAGGCTCTGTTGTGTTAGCCTCTCAGGACCACTGAGGCACCAGATGTTCATGTCAGATGTTGTCAGAGACATACAGGTAGTGAATACATTTGTTCCACTGATGGTCTAAAACATTTTGCTGCTAAATTAGTGAAGATGAAAAAGGGATTTTATAACTTACCAGGTGCAGGAGGAGGACCAGCTGGCGCTTTAGATTTAACTTCAGAATAAATGGCTGGGTCCTCGTTTTTTTCTGGAAGACAGAAATAACTAAACGAATGGACTCATAGAGATGAGTTTGACAACAACACAACCCACAGAATTACAAAATGCGCAGTCATGTGTCATTAAAGCATATCATTGATCTCTTAGGTCGCTCTATGTCCCCCTTTTCTTTCCTTCTCCTTCCCCTCACACACCACACTCTGCAAAATCACCACTGTTAAATTAACACAGTGAGTTTTAAACCTAACACTAGAAAAGTGTCTATATGTGTTGACTCCTTTAACTGTTAAATGAACACTTTTGAAAGTGAACTGCTTGTCCACCACTACTATGTTCGTTAGGTTAGCCTCCACTGGTTTGTAGCTAGAAGTCTCAATGGATCTGTTCCAACATAACACAGTATTTTATTCTATGTTATTTTATTCTATTCCATGTTTTTCTTAATTATTCCTGCTTGTAACTTTGCACTGTTCACTTCCTGTCGTGACCCAACAAATTTCCCATGTGAGGACTAAAAAAGGTTTATCTTATCTCTTATACTGTGCCAACCACTGGGTTATGGCGTTCCATGTATGTCCCGCCTGCTAGCATCTTGCACCCTGCAGTTATGTGCTGGATTGTCTGAGGGGCATCTTTATACAGGCTGCACCTGGGATGTTGCCTGGTGTGACAGACCCCAGCCTCTATGGATTTTACACTACTCAAGACTTGCCTTAGTCTCTGCAGGTGGTTGCAGTATTTTTGCATTACTTGTGTTGGTCTGTTTTCTCAGGCTGTGTCATTGTCAAATACATAAAGTTTAAAGCATGAATTTGCTTTGTTGCTCATGTAATATCTGCATGAACGTTATAACTTACCAGGTGCAGGAGGAGGACCAGCAGGCGCTTTAGATTTAACTTCAGAATAAATGGTTGAGTCCTGGATTTTTTCTAGAAGACACAAATGACTGAATGCAGGGATTCATACCAACAAGTCTGACATGTGTGCCATGTGCTAGTTTTCAAACTAGCTTTATCACATCATTTATGATAAAGCCAAACAATGTGATAAATTCAATGATTTGAATGTTTCCGAATTTTAATGATAAATAATCTTTTTGTTGTTTTTAAATAAAAACGGGATGATATGATGTGAACAGAGCAGCGTTCTTTCATCAGGCAACTTCACAAAGATATAAACAGTCAGACTTATCAGTGATTCATTTTTGAATGAAGGAGGAGAGTAACTTACCTTTTGTTAGTGAAGCACCAGTTTTGAAAACCATTGTGGAATAATTGACTTCTTCCTCCATCATTAAAAGCCAAATTGCCTTCAGTGCAAAGAAAACTAAAACTGGCCTCAACAGGAGCGGACTGTTAAGAGTGTTACTGACACCCCACCCACATGCCCACACACGCACCATGAAACAATATGAAATTCCAGCTGTAACTGGCACAGAACAAACCCGCGGTTCCTCTTCCTATTACTCCTCAACATGTTCATACACATGCCTGATCTCGGAATTATGTTGCTTCCGTAACACACCGTTACGCTAAGAGCAGTTAACACATTTGGGCTTTAACCCAACAAACCAACCTGTCACATATCTGTCTGGTGCAACGTCCGCGTTGTTTCTTAACTGATGATCGATGTCGTTGTGAGACATCGTGTTAGGTGAAAACGTTGTGATGAAAAATGTCTGTCACAGTACGAAAAAGGAAGAGGCGAGTGATCGCAATTTTTGCAACTCGTCTGGCCCAAGGAGCAGTGAGACTCTGCAGTGGTGAGGTGTCTGTCATCACTGCACCTCATAAAGAAAAATTAATCAAACCTTCACACAGTAATCATGGATCAGCCAAACCGTTGTCCTGATGTAATGAACAATATTCAATTCACACTATTTAGCAAATTTATTGACTTAACATTCCTCAAAATGATGACAAAAGAACTCCATTAAACACTAAATGATGTGATAACTTTGCCACTTGTATCCTGTTAGACAGGGAGGATCCTGTGGGTCGTAACCATGGAGAGAGTGGTGGTGTTGAACACAAACACTTTTATTTGGTGATGTATTTGATGAATTTGTCCGGGAAGTTACTGCGAGCCCCTTTTAATTCTCAGTGGACTTTAATTCTCATTTGTCTGTGCAGTTTACCCCAGTTTACACGTTCTTTCTGCACTTCACACGCTGCAATACCCGGAGATGTGATGAACTACTACATCATTTATATTCTGGTTATTTATTTATATTGCACTTTTTAAAGTCAATAAACAAGAACAATAAAAGCATAAGAAATTGTAGCAAATTATTATGAATGGAAACAAAAACTTGATGGGAAAAAAGAATTTGACCAGAACTGTAAAACAGACAAAAAACCAAAATGTGTAAAAACTGTAAACTGGTCACAGACAGATTTCCATTCAACGATTCGTTTTATTAAATGCATCAAAATACTGCGACAGGCACAGCTCAGTGGAGGCGAGGCCGAGCACACAGCTGTTGCTCCAGCTGCCTGTGTTCTTACGTATCAGCCTTACGAGTGTCCAGATGAATGAGTAAATAAAAGAATCACAGCTTTTATGAAGGTGGGAGCTGTCCACACCGGCCAAACCACTTTAAGCTGGAAACACTTTTTTTCATAATAACATTGAACATTTTAACATGAGAGTCTCTTGTAGGATAAGCCAGTTAATTTCTTACACACTGTTTTAGTTTTAGACAATAGGCACAACACACACACACGCGTATTATTATTATTGTTCAGATTCTTGGTTTCTGTTACTATAAAAGGAATAAAGATACTTACAAGTTACGCCCAATGAGCATGAACAGACTGTCACTTCCTCAAGTGGAAAGGGAAGTTTCACAAACATGTAGTATTAATAAATAGTAACATAAACACATTCATGCCTGTCTCTGCATTTACATGCATCGGAATATGTTTCTTTTGCCATCTAATACATTAGAAATCCCATAGTAATGACAAAAGAGCACATATGATTACAAAAAAGTACAAATGCTTTTGCAGTGCAGCTCAAACGTGGTGTGTGATTCTGCAGCATTTGTTTCAAAATGTAACTGAACATAAATCAAAACAAAGAAATTACTTAGTTTTTACAAAATCAGTTTGACACTGAAAAAAACTCATTGCCTTTAATTCAAAAAACACAAGGAGTTACTGTCACATTAAATAACAATTCTATTACTGGGACTGATTCCTAATCTGCTTTAATTAACGCTCGTCTTTCACAGATCCAAAGGTTTTTCATGTCACAGCTCTCTTTGCCCCAGTTGGCCAGAGGGGGCGCTTTTGGTAGGCTTAAAGCACAATATCTTCTGTTGACATCTTGTTGCATTTTCCAGTACCTAAAAAAGTCACATAGTGTCAGTCTGTATGCCTACTCAACATTTCAACCTTTGACAAATTAATCTTTATTGTATTTCTGAAATTCAGCACGTGGAGTGCTTGGGTACCAAAATTAAGTCAATGATCTGTGTCAGTCTCTGCACACACAGCATTCCTGATGGTAACAGGGATCGAGGCACAGAGGCCATGAATGCACACTTGTGTTTGGTCTCGCAAAAGTCAGACACTTAGATGTTCTGAAAACCACAACCGAGTCCATCACGGATGTGGAAGCTTAAGAAAAATGTCAAAGGTCAAAAATCATCTTTGAGAAACAAGCAATGGATGCAGTGAAGCGTTTTTAACAGGTTTTAGTTTTTTTCACTCTGCTACAAATAAGTTTGTTGTTTATTAGGACTTGTGTGTTCTCAGTGGTGGGAGTTGAGAACACACAAGTCACACAACAGTGTTAGCCAGGGTTTTCCTTACTTGGATGCATGCAAGACGTCTTTTTATGTTGAATGAAAACACTTTGTGTTTTTTCATTTCACAAATGAAAAGAGAAAATGCAAACAGAAAACAAGTCTGCCATCAACATGTGCTGATTCGACTTAATCATCACTTCCTTGAGCTATTCCAGCCTAAAGGTTGTTTTAACTCAAACTTATTTGGAATTGGTTCATACTGTAAACTTCTTGTGGCTGTAAATCTTAAACTTCTTGTTATTAGAAGAGGTAATGTTGAAACAATTTTTTTGTTCTGCTTTTTACTTCCATGCCATATTTTTTAAAGGGTATTTAAAATGTGTTGTAAAAATGTGTGTGTGTGTGTGTGTGTGTGTGTGTGTTTGCACTTATACATCTTTGTGAGGATCAAACTTGGACTGTTACTATACTTGTGGGGACCATCAGTCCTTATGGGCCCAAATTGTAGGCCTCGTGAGTTTGAAGGCATTTTTGAGGCTCAAATGTGGTTTTAGTGTCAGGGTTACAGTTAGGTTGTGGTTAGGCATTTGTGATGGTTAGAGTTAGGCTAAGCAGCTAGGGAAAGCATTATGTCAATTAGATGAGCTAAGTAAGATATAATAGGCAAGTATTTGTATGTGTGGTGGTGGGCGGGGGTCATGCTTACGTCACAGTGAGGTTACTTCTATCTACCCACGTCCACGTGTCCTTTGGGCTCCCTGCTCTCAAACCGATCCAGTAGCCGTGCTTATCATCAGCGTGGTAGTCCTTAGTGTGGTTGCTGATAAATTCCTAAATTTGTAATACATGTGTTATCTGCCACATAATAACAGTCGGGTTTTAGTTTTCCTTTGAGATAAAAAGAACGATGACTCGTCTATAACAGCAAAAAATAAAAACAAACAGGTTTAAAAAAATAACAACCTTTTCCTTTTTTGGACACTATGTTTACATTTTAAATGGATAAAACTGGCTTTTGTTCAACACTCACTACCCATATTGACAAAGTTTACACAACTATCCAGACTGCTGGCTGTAGTTACAGCTGCTGGGTTCCTTGGCTAAGACTCTGTGGGCTTGTTAGACCAGATTGCCTGGGAGGTGTTGCTGAATTACCTTCTTCAGATCTGTCCACAGATGATCTCTCCAAACTGCAAACTCTGATCTGACGCTTAGAGTTTGGAGCTCTTCAAAATGAATTTAAGTTTGTCCAATCAGATTAAAGAATATTTTTCTCTCGGTCTTTTAAACTCTCAGCCTGTGCCTTTTACTTCGACTATCTTTTGTCTGATGTATGAAGAGTCGTTCTCACTCTCTTTTTAAACACTCTGGGGACTCTGTAGGAATGATCGCTGGTTTCTTTTCCACAGCTCTGACCAAAGATCATGTCATTTACTGAATTTGGAAGTGAGGCCACAAAGACTATTTTAAAGAGAGCAGCGAGCTAGTGGGAACACTCAAAGCTTGCAGTTCCTTTTTCCTGAATATTTCTCTTTTCTTTTTAAGTACAAGTTGAGGCCTGCTTGAATCAAAACACAACTCAAATATAAAGCAAACCCCAGTGCACTTCAGAGAACAAGAATCTGAATAGTTTTAAAATAAGAGATTTCAGTTTCCCTTTTTACAGTATTTTTAAGTGTTGAGTGAGGAAGAAATATGTTTTCTTAAAATCCAGTCAAATGGCAAAGAGGTGGGAAAAGACTGAACTGAAGGAAGGTAACTTTGAATTATAGTTGCATTAACTTCCTCTTCAAACCTTCGTGTCTAAATCGCTTGAACTTTGACACTGTTTTTCCTCTCTGTGTATGAAAACGCTCTTTCACTTTATTTAAACTTTAAAAAAATCTATACAAATGAAATCTGGCTCACCTGTTCTTCCTGACTTTCGATCACTACCAGAGCCGCCTGATACATTTTGCATTGATCACGACTTTGATCCCAGCTCCTCCAATAAACCGAATATTGATGTTGGGAAAAAAAGTAACAGCTTGACTGAAACAGCACCCAGCCATCCAGGCAAGGTTTACACACTGATCAAAAAAAGAAAGGGACAACAAGACCAGAATCATTTTAGAAATCCAACTTTACAATACGTTACAAAGAGTTTTTTAGATTTGAAGATTTTGAAACAGTTTAAAACATTAAACCTTCAAATAAAAACATGTTTGTGGGAGTCGTGACAGGAAGTGAGCAAAAAGTAACATAAAATTATATGAAACTAAGACATGTTCACCTTTCTGTGGGCAGTGTTTTTCCACTGAAAATTCCTGATATTCCATGATGACTCCGATGGTCCAGTTGAGTTGGTCTCTCTGTCTGGTCAGCTCCTCTGTCTGTCGCTCTGAGGATGTTTTCTGTGTCATCAGCTGCAGGTTCTGTGCTGTGATGTTGGCCATTTCTCGCTGCTGCTCACTCATCACTGTGTTAACTGCAGTCAGATAAGAAACTGTTAGTGTTATTGTCTGATTACACTAAAGTCCTTGAATACACAGCAGGTGGACTTACAGCGGAAGTTGAGGCCGATGATGACTGACACCAAGATGAGGCAAATAACCACCAGACCTGTCACAACCAACGCAAGCCGACTACAGGGTGGAGCTAACTCTTTATTCTCTACAAGAATAGAAAAAATGTTTATTTTAATGATTGAATAAAAAATATCATTTATTTGTTCAGAAAACCACAAATAACCTGTTATTACAAGGGATGCATCCAATTTCCTGTCCTCAGTGTTCACCTCGTCGTAGATTGTTTCTGTGTCTTTTGGCGTCACTGGAAAAACAAAAAGAGTTTAAAGGAAATGAACTCATTTGTAGTTTGTTCTTTGTGGGGATTATTTATTAAACTTTACTTTTTAGATCACCAAAAATAGCAGTGCTAGGAAAGAACTGACATGCTGGGTAGCATAACATCGCCAGAATTAACCAACTGGTATTGATCGTTCCCCAAAACCACATACATCACAGTTTTGGCGATGAAAGGGAAGAAAGTAAGTCTGTCACTCACCGTATGTTGGATCTCTCTTTGTCTGAAATATCACTGTCACATAATTCTCTTCTTCCACCATTATTTATGTGTTTGCTGTTTATTGTCAGCGGTACTTACTTTGTTAATCTCGGAGTCAAACAGCCACTGTGGGTTTACTGGTCAGTGTAAGTGAAGTTTAGAGGCAGAGAAGTGGACCGTTGCAAGATCTGCACTTCTTCTTTTTGTCAGAAAGCGGGAGGGTTGTGGTAATTAGAGGGACATTTTTCTTTTTTTAGATAGTTTTGCAAAACGAGAAAAAATATGTCAGAACAAAGCGACGGCTGTCGCAGAGTGGAAGACTCGCGTTTCCAGGATACTAGTGGGGTCATTTTTTTCATTTGAGTTTAACAAACAATTACCTTCAGTGAATGAAGTGTGTGTGTGTGTGTGTGTGTGTGTGTGTGTGTGTGTGTGTGTGTGTGTGTGTGTGTGTGTGTGTGTGTTAGTTTACAAAGGTCAAAACTAAGTAACTGCAGCATGAATGTTATTGTAAAAATGATGAATTTCATCAGTTCACCTCGACACTGTTTGTAGGCAGATGTCAACCAAAGCTAACTTTTAACTTCCAGTTCATTTCCAAATTATCAGGCACATCCAGCTCAAACTGATCTAATACAGCAGTGAAATAAATCAGCCACAATAAAGCTTAATGTTTTGGATCAGTTTGTGTTGAAACTTCAAATGTGTGATCAATTTTTAGGCTTCACATTAAAGGTTAAAACTTCCAGCACACTTCAGTTAACCTACATGGCAGACGTTGTACGTACTGAGTACAATCAATCATCACAGTTCAATCAATGCCACTGAAACACGGAGATGCTGATGCATGCTTTTATTACCAGTCGCATTGATTACTGTAATGCCCTGCTCTCTGGTCTTCCTAAGAAGAATATTTCAACTTTACAACTCTTGCAAAACTCGGCAGCTCGTGTGCTGACGAAGACCAGAGGGCGGGCCCACATTACACCGGTTTTAGAATCGCTGCACTGGCTCCCCGTGTGTTTCAGGATCGATTTTAAAGTTCTTTTATTGGTTTTTAAATGTCTTAATGGTCTTGGGCCTTCTTATCTCTCAGATCTGCTTTTACCATACGAACCCTCGCGGACCCTGAGGTCCTCTGGTACTGGCCTTTTGATTGTCCCTAAAGTCAGGACACATACTCACGGAGAGGCAGCTTTTCAGTGGTATGGTCCTCGTCTGTGGAACAGCCTGCCGGAGGAGCTCAGGGCCGCAGAGAACGTACATGTTTTTAAGAACAGGCTCAAGACCACCTTTTTAATTTAGCTTTTACTTAGCGTTTATTTATTTTATGCTTATTTATTCTATCCTGTTATTTTACTATTAATTTAGGATTTACCTAATATTTTTTGATTTTATTCTTATTCATTTTTTAATCTTCTTACTCTATTTATATTTATATTGTATCCTGTTCTTATTTATTTTATCATTTTACCCTGTATATATCGTATTGCGTCATATCTCCAGTGTTTCCTCGGAGGGCGCTCTCTGCACCGGGGCTGTTATTGACCGTGGCTGCTGGTCTCTGGGGTCCTCTCAGCCTGGTTGGGGGGCTCCTTGGCCTCCCTCCTGCTGTGTGCCCAGCCTGGAGGCTGCGGTTTGTGACCGGCTCCCGGTGCAGACGGCTCCCTGTTATAGTGCTCACTTGGCTCATGCGAGTCCAGCCCAATTTTTACTCTTTAAGTGTGCGCGTGTGTGTGTGGGTGGGGGGATATATGTGTATTGAGAGTGTGGGGAGTGAGTTGGAGGGTGGGGTGGGCTGCTTTTAACTATGTAAAGCACTTTGTGCTACATTTTTTCTGTATGAAAAGTGCTTTATAAATAAAGATTGATTGATTGATTGATTGATTGATTGATTGATTGATTGATTGATTGATTGATTGATTGATTGATTGATTGATTGAAACATTAAAAACTACAGTGGCTTGCAAAAGTATTCGGCCCCCTTGAACTTTCCCACATTTTGTCACATTACAGCCACAAACATGAATCAATTTTATTGGAATTCCACGTGAAAGACCAACACAAAGTGGTGAACACGTGAGAAGTGGAACGGAAATCAGACATGATTCCAAAGATTTTTTACAAATAAATAACTGCAAATACATGTAGAGTGTGGTTTAAGAGTTCAACGTGTGTTTCATGCAAACATGCAAATAATCAGAAACTTTAAGGACTTAAAAACAGAAATAAAGACAAAAATCAAATATTTTATATTCTTTATTATAATTCAAATTTTAAAAAATAAAATTGTTTAGAGTAATTTAAAAAGTTAACTGACATTTCTTTGACTTGGATCTGTCCACTAAAGACTTGGGGGTAACTGTAGATTTGATCATACATCAATCTTTTTTGGCTAAATCAACCTGCAGTCTTTGTTCCCCTGTTAGAAATATGGGTGTCCTTCAAGGTTCAGAAGATTCAGAAGCACTGTGACAGAGGGAAACATGACAGAGTCTGAAACTGTGTGACGTGAGATCGCTTGTTATTGGGGTTACTAGGAATATGATTGTTAGGGTTTTCTCTGTTTACACTTCAATTCAATTAAGTGTAATCAATTAAAATGTCTTGATGTATGATCAATCATCCAGTTAAGTAAATCTCCAAAAGTTGATTCTGTTCACCTGGACGTAGTGTTTTCCCCAATCTTATAAACAGGACATTTGCATAATGACTGAACCCAGCCCAGTGAACCTGCAGTCAGCTGAGACTGAAGACGTCACTGAAAACGTCCAGATGAACAGAATCAACTTTTGGAGAATCAATTAAAATATAAGTATATTTATATAAAATTAATTCAAATGGAATAATGTTAAGAAAACATGGATAACCCAAACAATCAGCAATCTCTGCTTCTTTGTAGGGTCCTTACCTTACAATATGAAACACCTTGGGGAAACTGTTGTTATGAGCACACCTCGAGGCTTTGAAGGCCAAAGAAAACCAAAGATTGCTGACTGTTACTGGACTTTCCAACACAATCATGTTCATGCATGAAGCTCTGAAGAAAAAAAATGTCAGAACATATTAGGATAATGTGACCTATGAGACTGCTGTCATTTAAACAAAAAGGGGAAATACTGAGATAATCTGAAGCTCGTGTGGATTTGACACAAGCTGATGTTATATATCTATTGATATTATCATTTGTAATGAAGCTCTGCTGGCACAAATAAAGAAGCAGCATTGTGTTGCTCAGATGGTTTGTGCATGTGCAGAGGAGAGATGGAGGATATAGTGGACAAAGAAGCTGCCAGGCAGGAGGAAAAGAGGACCTCAGGGAAGTTTCATGGATGGTAAATGGCCTGTATTTGCTTTACTAGTCCCTAAGGACCCCAAAGCGCTTTACACATCCAGTCATCCACCCATTCACACACTGGTGATGTCAGCTACATTGTAGCCACAGCCACCCTGGGGCGCACTGACAGAGGGGAGACTGCCGGACACTGGCGCCACCGGGCCCTCTGACCACCACCAGTAGGCAACGGGTGAAGTGTCTTGCCCAAGGACACAACGACCGAGACTGTCCGAGCCGGGGCTCGAACCGTCATTCAACAAATAAAGAAGCAGCATTGTGTTGTATTATAATGCATTTAGTATGTTTTATCGCTCCATCTCTGAAACAGGAATGCAAATACACAGATTCATGTAAGTCAAAGATGCAAACAAACATGCAGCAATTTCTAATTTGGCCCATTTGAGATCTAAACGAGCTGTTTGTGCTGAACGTGGTGGTCCGCGAATTAAGAAAACCTCGATACTCTTCATCTGTGATATACTTTTCATCCACAAGGGGGAACTATAGAGTAACATAGTCCCTACTGTGTAGAGGATTTAACTCCAAATCATTGTAGCAAATTAAATCATGTCCCGTGAGAGGACCTTTACTTCTGCGTTATGAGATGTTAATCGTTAAAATGAATAAGTTACCATGAACCAAAGTAACTTTGTGAAATCTTCTTGTGAGATCATCTCGAAATTTCTGCAATCAACTGCTTGAACAACAATCAGTGAGTCACCTCAGCTGACAAATCAGCGCGCAGGATCTCTCCAGGAAGCACCTGTCGGGTCTCCACCTGCAGATCAGCAGGTACAGCCACCCTTAGCGTCAAGAGAGGCACGCCGAGAGAGCTGGAGGAGAAGAAATCTCGTTTTTAAACGTTTTGTCCCGAGAGCAGCGATGGTTTGCGGCGGATTCGTTTGCACCAAGAACGCACTCAGCGCGCTCAACATCCTTTATGTGGTGAGTTGAAATATGTTGATGTTTGCTGGAGGGAAAAATGTCTCCTTGAGGGCCAGTTGACGTGAGACCTCTCTAGTCGGTTAATTTACAACTAAGAGCGGAGGGGGAAAAAAATGCGTGTTTGCCATGGCAACGAGGTGGCATGCGTAAATGATTACTTTTTAAGTTATTTAATATTGTTTTTATTATTTTTCTACTTCAACTTTTATTTCCAGTGCCAAAAAAGTGCGTAACATGACGTTTTGAAAGCTGCTCCAGTATTAGGCCCAACTTTAATAAATCAGCAGTGTTTATGTGGCCTTTTCTTCCTTGTTTTGTTTAATAATCAAACTGAGTGCTGTTTACTGCTTTCCCATGAGCTGTAAAACATTTAAAAAAGCACACAGGAAGCGTCAAATTGTTAATGTAATGTCATAAAAGGAATTTTCTCAAATGGGCTTCACACAGGAAATATGATTATTTCATCAGAAATTTAAAAAAGTGTAGCATACACTGGGTCAGGTGCCCTCATACATAAACACGTATTTGCACTCTTTTAGTAAAAATTATAATCCTGCTTAAGTAATAGTACAAACAAACAAAAGAATTTAAGTAAAAGTACTCATAATCACTTACTAGACCAAAATGATTAATGGCTTTGACTTTAATGGTGTAGCTGTTGCTAAGCAGCTTTATAATGACACACCATGATGTCATAGTAGATTTCTAGGATAAGCTCTGACAGGTAAAATGAATGAATCAATGATCAAATTGATTAAAGCTCCATAAAATGGAACAAAATTAAGAGCTCATCAAATCACCGTCTAGAAAAAAAGTGAAGAAAGATTTTCAGTGTTGCAGTGTTCAATTCTCTCAGTAAGTGATGCAGACGCTGGGCAGGATCCTCCACGTATGAGCCACGGCCACTCAGTTCAAGCAGCAGTGACAGAAGAGGCAGTTCAATCTGAAATGTTCCTTCACGGGAACATCTCGAAATAGAACTTTTCTAATCTGCAAAAAATAAACAACTAAAGCTTTAAAGTAAATAGTGTTGAGACCAAAGTTCAAAATTTTTATCAACACGTTGATGTAGAAACTAATATAACACAGGAATACTTAAATGGCTACTGTAGAGGAGAGATGGAGGATATAGTGGTGCCAGGCAGGAGGAAAAGAGGACCTCAGGGAAGTTTCATGGATGTAGAGAAAGAAATGAAGGGAGAGCATATTCCGATTTTACTTGCTTAGTGAGCTTAGTTTCATTCTGCAATCAGCACCTTGAAAGTTGATTCCTGCCCCTCCTTAAAAACAGTTCCTGGTCCAGACTTAAAAAATGAGACTTTTCCTTCTTTTTCCTTGTGCTATCACACCTTTCCCCCTCAGCTGGTGAGCCTGTTGCTGATTGGCGTGGCAGCCTGGGGGAAATGGTTTGGCCTGGTCTCCAGTATCCAGGTGGTGGCAGGGGTCATCGGCGTGGGAGTCTTCCTGTTCTTTGTTGCCTTTGTGGGTCTGTGCGGTGCCCTAAAGCACCACCAGGTCCTGCTCTTCTTTGTATCCTTCACACAAATCCAGGATTTTATGCTCTAGTAGATGTGTGTCCTGAGTTTTAATGGCTCGTAGGCATAGCAACAACACGCTTTAAACGTCCTCAACTTGGTCCAGTACATGATGGTTCTCTCCATAGTGTTTGTGCTGCAGTTTTCAGTGTCCTGTGCATGTCTGGCTCTCAATAAAGATCAACAGGTACGTTTATTTTGTCTTTTCTCAACAATCCAAACAATATTTTGGACACCGTTTGGCTTTTAGACAGTTACAGGCAGACAAACGTCTTTAACGGCTCTATTCCAGTATTATTTTTATATTTGAGTATTTCCGCTATGTTTCTTCTGTATTTTGAGAGTCACTCTTTGATATTTTACTCAGTTATAGATGCTTGATTGTAGTTACTGTGCAGATTCAGATGAATCATTAAAAATATAAATCATAATTAGGTTTTTCAGGTTTTAAAAAACACAAATGGGACTTTTAGTCCCAGGAACAAACTTGGAGAACTGCTGGTAGCTTCAGTGTTGGGGACTGTAGTTAAAACAAGATTGTTTTATGTGGAAACGCAGCATTTATAATTGATTTCATGTCTCTGTTCTGGGACCTCCACAACGGTGAATACGAATATGTAAAAAAACAAAGTGGTAGAATCAGCAGGCAGAAATTTGCACTCAGGCTATTTACATTATATTTAGCTTTGTACATTCAGACAGTTAACAGCAGAGCTGCACCTGATTTACATGCCAAATAAAAATCTGAGTTTAAGCAACATTAATGTTAGATCTTACTGTGCCTTAACAGTGACACACTGATATCTAAGTCTTCTAAATTATGTCGTCTGCAGTGTTGCAGGCTTTCCTTCCTCCATATAAAGAGCCTACATGTTTTATAGCGCTTATAATGGCTTCCTGATCACAGGACAACATGTGTGGACTCAGGATCAACACAGTGGCCTGCTTGAACTGACACTGTTGAGACTCCTCTACCAGATTGCAACATCCTAAAAATAGTAGAGCTTAATGATAACAATTTAGGAATATACTCTAAAAAGCAAACTTATTCAGAGTTGGTCATTTCTGTTTAAGGAGCTACTGAATGCAGGACTTTAATTAAAGAATGTTTGCGTGGCTCTGTGAGGCACATGCAAAATTCACTGTGGAGCAAAGCGAGACAAATCAATGAGAATATGCAAGGTCTAAATAAAGGATCATTTCAGGATTACTTTTAAGTCTCGTATACATGAATTGAGCTCCAGTGATGCTGGTTTTCATCTGCAGAACTTGCTGCTGGAGGCCGGATGGAACAAGTCTAAAGGCACACAGAAGGACCTGGAGAGGACTCTAAACTGCTGCGGCTTCTCTCAAGTGGACAACAGCTCGTGTCCTGCTGTGAGTAAAACACTCTGAAAAGATTTCCTAGATTTTCTTCTAAGAAGCAACTTGGTCAAGATTGTGTTTTGTTTGCTTGTTTTGTTCCTCCAGGTCTGCGTTAACACTTCATCTTGTGTGGCCTGCGCAGACATCCTCCAGAATTATGCCGGGCAGGTGCTGCAGTTTGTTGGCGGCATCGGCCTCTTCTTCAGTTTCACAGAGGTTGGGAAAATGTCGTTACAGTGAAGCTAAAAGACTTGTAGTCTGCTGTGAACGGGTGCTGATGTGTGCTGCAGGAGGTTTTTGTATACTGAGAAAACTGACAGCTGCTCATTTGTTGTTGGTTTCAGGTCCTTGGAGTCTGGCTCACCCACAGATACAGAAACCTCAAAGATCCTCGATCCAATCCCAGAGCCTTCCTGTAACCGATCGCATGTAAATCAACCCAAAAGTGCGCCGCTGAATCATTTTTTTCCTTTTGTTTCGTAAACCGAAGTTATCTCTGTGTTTGTAAGTTCTAAAACGAGTCTGCAACTTTTGATGCACAGTCGGGATTAAAATCCTGCATCCTTTGAAAGCACGAAGCCTCACAGCTGAAATGATTCAAACCGTATCATACTCTGGCCTTACCTAAACTTTGGCTGTTTAATATCTGCACACTTTTAAAATTGTACGCATTTGACAGGAAATGAGGAAAAAATAATGGATCCAGCTTTAGCTTAGATATTACTCGTAAGAAAAGATGCCTGCCGTGGCTCTGGCCCAGGAGCTTCTCACTGTGAGGCAACAGTTTTACCTACGGAGTCCCTGCCATGTTTATTACTAATGACACAGTGAATCAACATGGCATAAAAGCTCCCTGTGTAAATGGTGCAGGCAGTAAAATGTTGTGCAATGTTAGAAAAGTACGATTGCAAACAAGGTTTTAATTTTATTAGACGTCTGTGTTATTCAATGCTTCGCTCTCTGTAAGCTGACATGTCATTGTCACAAAGTGATCATGAATTCAACTTCTTGCTTGAATTATTTCATCTTTAAAGGTTTCAGTCTTTCTTTTATAACTTTTGTTTTTTTCTCACTGTGAACATTGTGAATTCTTCTTCTCATTTAATTTCTAGGATGAAAACACCGATAGGACTCGTGTACTGTATATAAGCCGGCTTGTGCTGAAACATGTTAATCAGCTGTGTGCTCGTATAAGGCACGTGCTGTTTGACGTGTGCTGGACTTTTCTCTTTGTCAGGACGTCACCAGGAGCTACAATCAACTTTGGTCTCGAGTGCGACATAAGCAACATGCTGCTGCTCACACTTCTCTAAATGAACTGTTCTTTTTTCCCTGTTATGCTTCTGTCATTACTTTCTCACAGATATATTTGAAGTCAGGATTCTTGTCTTACTTATGTCTCTGTTAAAGAAGGAGACCAAGTATGAGTGGTTATTTACTGAAATGGAGATAATCTTATGTCATGTGATCGTAGTAATCCAAGCTTCTGTTGACTGTGGGCTTGAAAATGATGTCTTTTTGAAGGATGGTCAGTCATATACTTTTCTTTTTCGATGCATGTTACTGTCATAACTCTCACTGGTTCTGGTATTTATGTGAAGGCAGTCATCATCAAGTTAAGCTGATTTAACACTCATCAGGCCTCTGCTGACTCATTTACAGTTGGAGTTGGGGTTTAGGTTAAGTTAAAGTCTCCTGTTTGTTTTTTAGAAAACCAAATGTGAAAGCTGTTAATGGAAAAACGCTGTCAAAATAAATGTTTAAGACTTCATTTGAAACATATCTTCTAGTTTTTGAAGCTTACTTACACGCTAAGCTTACTTAACACGTGGCCAAAACAAAATCCAAGCCTATCCCTATAAAAGCCACCCAAGCCTTTCTGGCAGTAAAGAAGAGTAAGGCTAAGCATGCACTGATGATTACTTTTAATAATGAAGGCCGGGGAAATACACGCTCCTCATCACGTAACCTATGTTGTTTCCCTGAGTGAGCGACTCTTTGCTCTGAACATGGAGCGTGGTGGTCTCGATGTGATGGAGAGGCCCGTCAGTGAAAACTACAAGCTCCTGGTTTGTGCTCCTGTCTTTCTCTGGCTGAAACAAATGAAGCATATTTGCAGCTCTTTCTTGCCAGACAGTTTGACTTGTCCAACAGGAAATGACAGCTGAATAAACTGCTCAGATTTTGTCATTTTGAGTGTTAACACATTTCCTTCCTGTTTCCATTCTTTATGCTAAGCTGAGCTGACCAGTCGCTGGTTAAACAGACTCCTTCTTGAACTTTTCCTCAAAGAATCTCAATGATTATTCTGTCTCATCTTGAAGCGCTAATAAAGAGAAGCTGTGTGAGCTCTGCAAACAATACACCTTATGCAAATAGCACAATGCTGGCTGGATGAGGACACACCACTGCCTGACACGGGCTGAACGTGTACACTGAATTGTTTTTTCACAGTGGGTTTGGCTGTTTGCAGCGCTAACAAATTAAGATTAGGATCAGCTTAAAGTCGAACCTGGCAAAGCTGGTTTGTTTTCACTTGTTTAAAGCACATCCCAAGTCACTGGAACAGCTCTCCTTCATTTTTCAAATAAGCAGCAGGACTGAGGTGCTGGCACAGACACGGTCATAGAGCTTTGTTTGCCAGAGCCGTGCTGTTGCCGAGGTGAAGGTTGCTCAGCCACGTGACTCACTCTCATTCCTCACCCTGAACAGGATGCAGATCAGGAACTGCAGTCCTCAGGCGGTCAAGCCTGTTTATCAACATGTTTGTGAACTCAAACAGCTCGGCTGCTGATTTGGCAGGTGAAACAAAATGCTTTGTGTACACATTAAATAATAAAGGCCTTCTGTATTCAAATGTGCCAATGCAACTGTAGAAAATGAAATTCAAACCTCTGTCTGAACGGTATGGGTTGTTTTGCAGCATATCTGACTTAAATATCAGCTGTTTGCTTTCTGGACTTTGTTTCTTATAGAAGTTTACATCTCAACACACAAAGAGTAGTTTGAAATGTCTTTCTTAAGAAGGAGGAGGAGGAAGAGGAGGGGAAATCTAAAATCAACATTTCTGGGCAGGAAAATATTAGAAATGCTTTCAGGGTCAAAGTTCATTTTAAAGGAAGCTGGGAGGAAGCACATGGTGAGTGTGTTTTTCATGATTTTTAATGCCTGAATTATAAGAACGTCAGGTTATTTTGTTTTTGCAGTTAATTTTCATTCAGTGCAACAGTACCAAAAATAAATGAAAAAAGCAGTTTGGGGTGTAAAAGGACAGAACTAAACTCTCACATTTAGAAATACTGTCAGGGTGGATTCAAGAAAAGTCGTCCAAATGAGGATCGCATCTCTGACTTCACTGAGATCCTTCACCTTTAACTGTCCTTCTCATCTGAGAAAGTGTGGAGCATCTGCAGCACTGAGGCTCTTGTTGTGACAGCATTTATCACATTGTCATCTGGTGCTCTCTGCACTGGCGCTTACTGAGATAGGCTGTGATGGACTGATACACTGAGATCCTCTGGATCTGCAGTGAACTCAAACCTGTCCAGGTGCAGGAACCAGAACTGAAGAAATGCTAAAATATGAGGCGTGGCTAAAAGGCTCCATTTTAAATTAGGAAAGGCTTTTATCATTTGTTGGTAACAGCACACATATTTTGACTGACAGAGCAAGGACTGGTCTCCAGGACTGCTAAAGGACACTGTACACTCCTATAGTATCAAGTCTTCATTTACAAGATAAGCCTGACCTAATTCCCATCCTGCGCGGCACCCTTTTGGACTCTAGTGGGACTCGTTTCCAAAATAAAACCAGTGCTGTATTAGGTAACACTCGAAACTAGTGATTGAGACCATAAACTCATCAGGATTTTATTGAGGTCATTGATCATGTGGGAAGCATCAGTGTTGTCTCAGACTTCTGTAGTTACACATCCAGAGAGGATGCCCCCTGCTGGTGATTATAGGGGATGCATGATTTTGCTACTTCTCTTTTCTGACTGTAGTATTTACACCCATCTTTTATGTCTAGTCTTTGTATTTCAAAGTATCATCCGGTCTTCAGCACCCCCTGGTGGGCAAACTATAGAATAGTCAGGTCATTTATTTCATTTTAGTCCTTTATTTATTTATTTCATTTCGGGATTTTTATTTTAATTTATTATTATTATTATACTTTATTATACTCATGATAGTGAGATTTAGATACACGTTTATATATATAAAAAATTATATATCCAGGTTTCAATCTTTCAGGTTAGTTCTTCTATCTGCAGGTGATGATATCTCCCCCCCAACTTGTTATCCTGGCTCCCCCTTGTCGTAGCATGTGTGTTGTACCTCATCAATCTATAGCTCTGTGAAAGTCCCTTCTTCCAAATGTTGGAATAACTAGTGTTGTCTATTAAGGTTCTCAGTCATCCAGGTCATTGTAGTCCAAGGAGCTTAGAAAGAAAAGCATCTGGACTTCTTTAAGTTGCTTGAAGATGTTTCACCTCTCATTCAAGAAGCTTCTTCAGTTCTAAGGTCAAATGGTGGAGAGTCCCAGATTTAAGCCCTGTGGGAGTGTCCCCCCCCCAAGAGGGACAAAAGGACCCCTGATGATCCTCTACCTAATCACATGAGCCAAGGTGTGAAAGCGGGTGTGGGTCCCAATCAGCCAGGGTTGCAGGTGAGCTCATTGTGAAACCTGGCCCCTCCCTATCATGTGATTTCCTGAGGTCAGATGGCCCAGGATGTGAGTGGGCGTTAAGGCGTCTGGGGAGGGATCTCAAAACTGGATTATAGATGGCGTTGGTGTCGTAAACCACCGCCTCTGTTCAAAGATGGTCGCTCACAGTGGACATAGATGCTTCTTTCACTCCTCTTTCAAACCATCTGTCCTCTCTGTCCAAAATGTGAACATTGGCATCCTCAAAAGAGTGACCTTTGACCTTTAGATGCAGATGGACAGCAGAGTCTTGTCGCGTGGAGGTGGCTCTTCTATGATGTGCCATTCGTTTGTGAAGAGTTTTTTTAAGTGTGTTGCTGGGTCTGGAGTACACTGGGATGTCGTGCTTGAAGTAGTGTTTCAACAACATCCTACTATTGTCGTCTCTTGTTCCATGGCTTCATATTTACCCTCTCTCTGCGGTAGGCTTGCTTAGCATGGGGGGTTAGGACCCTTACAGACGCCCCAGGTGGGAATCAAACTTGCACCTCCCGGTGTGTAGTTTTACCACTACACTATCCAGCTATGTTTTTTTTTATGATACTGTAAATACTTTCCAGGTAGTTTCCACAAAGCAGTTCTGTTTGAAGGACCCACAACATTTAATCCCATTCTTGACACATGGGTATTTGCACTTTTGCTATTCGTGTAGGTTATTATATCTCTTACCGTTTTTCTCACTACACAACTCACCTTTTAACCTTGGATTTTAGAGTTCAGTCCTATCAGGTTTTCTAAGTTGTGTCTTTCTTTTAGGGTCTGCTTTTAGTCACAATACATTTATTTTATTGATCTGTGGTTTTCTCTTATTTACTAACTTGGTAAATGTTGTTCCTTTTAAAATGAGCATTTCATGAATATTACAATTGTTGCATTCTGCAAAATGTAGTTAAGTGCTCAACTTTATGGTTATCATTAACACAACTTAATAATGTACTGATACACTTAAACTCATACTCAAGTGTACTTAAACCTTTTTAAAACAGGATTTTTCTTTAGTATTGTCACAGTGTAGAATTAATACTTTAGGAACTTCTTTCCTTAAAAAATATGAACGAAAAGAGTACTGTACTGTAATTATCAAGATTTTTATTAAGCATACTGTACATTCATGTACCAAACAGCATCACATGAAAGTCTTCTCCTGTGCTCAAGAGTACTGACAGGAAGGCCAGAGTCCGCTAAATAATGAGGATTCAGGTTCCGCATGAACAAAGCGACACGAGGGGGAAAAAGAAAGCAAACAAGACTAGAGTGACTAGATTTAGTCTAACTTAAATCTGGTGAAACACCTTTTTCAGTGAAGAACATTCTGTCAGCAAAGGTTGGACTAAAACAGAGCAATAAATAGGCACTAGGGAAGTAGCCACATCAGCGCTAGGCCATTAGTCAGAGAGCTGTTGAAAAAGTGGACAGGCTGTTCGGGGAGTGAAGCTGTGCTGACTAGTAGTCAAATCAAAGTCCCAAAGGAAAGCAGGTGGAGGAGGAATCGGCTTCAGTGTTTGTGATTATGAGTCTGGTGAGAAAGCTCTGTGTGCGTTGGGGAACTGCTGAGAGCTGAAATCCGGGTCTTCCCTCACTCGTTTCTTGATGTCTGTTTTAACCTGAAAAACAATTGACTTCCATCATCAGTCAAGAAGGTGAACGGGCAGTCGTGTGACTGTGAGCAGCTTCCCTAAAGGCTACAGTCATAGTGGAGTTTAAGGTGATGTTTTGTCACTCATCCAAGTGACTTCTTCAGCCACATTCTGACTTGGATGAGTGATGAAAGGTAAGACTTTTACTTTGAATACAAACTGTCTCCGTTTACAGTTCGTGTCACAGTGTCACTCCTATTTAACTAGCAGTTACTGAGTGTTTGGAGACGAATTGGCATCTTCCAAGCAAACTACAGGTGACCACAGACTGTATACCTCTTTGCAACCAGTTTGATCTAATGAGTGCCAGCAACCATTCACCAACTAATTGAAGAATACACATCTTTCCCTAGTGCTGTGTGGTTCCCAGCAGATCTCTAGGCCTGTCTGGCAGTAGCAGCTTTAACCACTCTAGTAGTTTTCTACTAAAGGAAGCAGCTCTCCAATTTACTGGTGTGTGCTAACTGCAGGAACTGACCCTGCAGGACAATTGTCTTTATTGCCGGTTACCAGGAAAGGAAAAAAAGCAGCTACTCTGGTGCCGGGAGGTCTGAAAAAATATTTTCAGGGGTCTGATTGCTAAAAGTGGCATGCACAATTTTCCTCTTCACCAGAAGGCCTGTGATCAGTTACGTTTTTAAATTGCATAACAGCAACATAGAGGGTGCTCTTTGAGACAGTGTTTTGTGAGCTTGTAAAACGTTAGAAAGCCAGTTAACTGGGTCACAACATGACATTGTAACTGTGTGATCAGATGCAGCCACTGTGTCAAACAAATTCAAGTCATCACTGCTGCATTTTTCCATACTTTAGCATTGAGATGGACATTTTGAATCTTAGTGTCATTATGTTACAGGATTATTTAAACTGTGAGTTTCCTTTGCATCATCCTGGTGTGCTTTCACTCATCCTTCCTGTCCTTGCTCTTAAAAGCCCTCCTCATGATTTCCCAGCAGTTTTCCAGTTTGCCAGATCTATGAAAGCTGCGCTAAGTATGAACATGAACAATGTTCGATGTGCCTCTGCTTGATTTTTGCCAGTTTATGTAAGATGTGGTTACCTGTTCTGAATAAGCTTCCTTCACCTCCTGGGTCTCCAGGTCTTCCTGCAGCCGTTCAGCAGAGGTGATGGGCTTCACTCCGGCCGTCCTGGCTGCTTGACTCACTGCATCAGAGAGGGAGAGGAGGGCCGCACTGCCCTGTCCTGTCTGAAATCACACACACAAACATGCAGCATAAAGAAAAGGGAGAGAGGCCAAATTCTTACGTGATGACAAAAAGTTGCACCTGATTTTATTACCTTTCTGCGTTTTGCTGGCATGCCATGCAAATATGCATCAGACAATGGAGGCTGAGCCTTCATCTTCCTCTGAGTCATTATATCACACCTGATGATGGGAACCCATTCCTAAAACAAAGACAACGGAGAATATAAGGATTAAGCAGAAGTAGCTGAAAGGACAGAGTCATAGTTTAGGTCAGCTGTGTTACTGTGTTGCACTACAGCTAAGCAAAAAACTAGTGCCAGTACAGCAACAGCACACGGTAAATGTAAAGCAGGGACACAAAGAGTTAAACACTTTTTCCAAATGGAGGAAAAAGATGACAGTTAAAGCAGTAAAAAGCGGTGGGAGGGAGCTCTTACAGGAGGAACAGCAGCAGCCCAGCCATCCGACTCTCCAGCAGACTCCTCCCTCCCTCCCTCCGCTCCCGCCGCTGCCATGTCGCCACCTAATGGCACGGCTCCTCCTGAGGCTCCCAGGTCCCCAGGCAACACCCTCGTGTCCCGTGATGACACCCTCGTCTCCTGCGACACCGACATGGCCTCCTCTGCTGTGGTGGCTGCAGCTGGTGACAGGTTGTCCCCGATCTTTGGAGGTGGAGAACAAAACCATGAGGAAACTAAAAGGAAAACACAGGACCAGAACTGGCAAACTAAGGTCCTCTGAACTCTCGCACACCATTCTTACCGTTGCACTTTGTGCCTGTTCAGGCTCTTGGCCACCAGCTGCAGAAGACTGATCTCTCTGTGAAAGAATATCATTAATATTTATTAGCCATTTCAGACGTGCAGTTCAGAGAAATGTGATATGGAGCCGCCATCAGATAAGAGGGACTGCTCTCTCGGCATGTTGCACATGTGCTCTGCACTGCAGGAAACACACAAGGACAGTAAAACCAGATTCTGAGTCTTATTGCAGATGAATTATTGGCAAAGGCTTGAAAAGAGTTTTTGACTGACCTGCTTTGTCAGTATCTGCTTCGTGTCACTTGGAAAGATTTTATTAATATCAGAAGAGTTTCTTAAAAATATTTTAAGTTATTTTAACTATTTAGCTGCACAGTTTTGTTTCATGTTGTACTTAGATGGTTATGTTTTTGATGTTTAAGGCCATTAATTATCTTAGTAAGCCTGCACTGTTTCTTGTGGCCAGCAGGGGGCGAGCTTCCAATGAAGTCTATGACCTCTGATGACTTCATGGTTCTATTCTCAACTTTTACTGAATACAACATGATGATCACTTTGTCCAAAGTCCAAATTAAAGTTAAAGACGAGGATAAAGCTGCTGTATTCCAGGATTGGGTGATGAGCTGCTACTGTGCAGGTGTGTGGTTTATGTATCAGATACACTCCTCGCTTGTCACACACACAGCAGCAAATGCTCTGCTTGAGGCTTCTACACAATGACTTCACAATGACCACAGTGTCCGTGTCCATCTTTCATATCGTGTTTGGTAATAGCTCAGTCAGGCTGTCTTCTTACATGAAATTTGTACTGATCTGCACACATATGTCGCAACGTGCAAAGATTTATCTGTAACTGCAGGATTTTGTTTGCTGTGAGTCACAAAAAATGATTTACAGTTACACAACTCTAAACAGACACTACAAAAACAGCCTGATGCTTGAGCGGCTGCATCATGCAGGTGAGGCATGGGGATTTGCTTTCCTTGAATTTCCATCACGTCCAATTTTATTCTGAGAATTAGAAATTTAGCATGCATGCATGTGTGTGTGTTTGTGTCTGCTGCGTTACCTGTGTGTGAACTATGTAGCTCTGGATCTGCTCCTGTGTGATAGGGATGTGCTCCAGAATCACCTGCAGTCTCATCGTCATCATGCTGGTCATCCAGTTAACCAGACTGGGGCTGATGTCACTTGACATCCTCCGCTGGAACAAAACAAAGTTTTTTATCTCACACACACATTTTCTCCTGTATTTTGTGACTTTTTAGGTTACATCCTCTCTTTAAATTGTTAAAGTACACCACTTTTCTTAGTTTATATCTCTGACTATTTCTATTAACATCAAATGACAGAGCAGCTGAATTCTTCATTCTTTACTTCCAAGTTTATAACAGTGCACATGACACTTTCTCTGCATAAATCACTTTAAATAAACAAATTTGAGTAAATAAGTGCAGTACGGTACTTCTGAAGTGTGTTTAAATTCTGACTTTCATATCTACTGTTAAACAGTGGATCTCCATATTAAACTTGAACTGTTTCAAATAATGTGTCAACTGTATGTTTTACCTGTAATAGCTCAGAATTTACACTAGTTGATGCTAATTGATGATGCAGTGATAGAAAAAATATAGATAAAAGTACAATGGAACTGTCTCCTGTCAGAAGCACTCAGTAGCGCCTCTGTGTGACTTCTCCTGTAAATGTGTGTAAATAAAATTGAATTTGTACAAAACACCAAATTTGACCTTCTTTGACCAAAATGTAATACTTTCATTTGTGATAAGTATTTTTTTCTTGCCGAATGGAAATTGTGTACATACAATTCGGTGGTTGATAACAGCAGTTAGAGCCCTCTGGTCTCCTCTCAGGCAGTGAAGGTTGAGAGCAAGACACTCAAACAACGCCTGGTTACACATCTGTAACAGCTGGGGCCCAAATGTTTCATCTGGAAAACACAATTTAAATTGAATAATAAAAAAAAGTGAATGTATTGCAGTTACAAGTATAACATTTCCCACAAATATTCCACAGATAAACTCTTTAAGCTGCTGTTCGACACAAAATGAGGAAACAATGAGCTAAAGTTGAGTTTACCATTGCAGCGCAGAATGTGTGTGGCGATGCGAGTCAGCTGCTGTCTGAAGAAAGTCATGTTGGTCTGGGTGATATCAACGCCCTCCAACACGCTGACTGAAGACTCTCTCTGTTGGGTTTCAAAGGAGAAGATCTCTTCAGAAGTATTTCAATCAAAAGCAGATGGCACTTTAACATAACTGGCTATTACTCTAATGCTGTGCAACGGACTCAAGGTCTGCTGCTGCTTACCCTGTTTGCAAGCAGCTAACGTTTTACCTACAGTGTTATCACATCCCATCTTCCTATCATTGAGTGTGGCAAAATTCATTTGAACACTCCAGACTACATGCCATGCCAGCCATGACTGACTAGACAGAACATAAACATGCAAATGGTATAAATCGTAATCTTTATCCGCGATAGCAGCTAGGCTAGCTATGATAGCAAGTTGTTTCATCTAGGTGCTTCAGTATTGATGAGTCTGAATACCAGTTCAATACTTGTTGCTACTATCAACAATTCCAAACACTGTCTACCTTCATCTACTGCAAATTAAAGCAGTTTTATATACTTCACATCTGCTTTGCCTATCAGACAAAATAGCCCATTAATATTAGTCAAAGTCGAGCACAGCCTGAGCTCTGATGGATGTTACGCATGCGATGTTTTCCCTCGACAGTTTCTATTCTAAGTTATCTATTCTATTTCTAAGTTTCTATTCTCTGTATGTCCTGTACATGTGGCAGAATTGACAATAAAGTTGACTTTGACTTCGATATTCTTATCGTTTTTTAAGGATTTCAAACTGACAGCATACATGACAATTTTTTAAACTTTTCATGAGATGCAGATATGTGCAAAGTCAATCTATGGAATTAAATTATGTGCTTGATCAAATCCTGTTGTCATGAGAAGAGAGTAAGTGCAGGACTTACAAAGCTTTCAGTGATATATTCCTCCAGTTCATTGACAAGACTGTCAGCAGCAGCCTGTGAAAGAAAAAGAAGACAACACGCAGAAGGAAAGAAAACATCAATTATTGATCACGTTCACAAAAACATAAAACAACCAACAAAAATGAGGGATATGTTATGAAGTAAAATAGCTGCGTCTACTTGTGAAGTACCTCTAAAATTGCCAACAACATTCTAAGAATAATACAGATTGTGGTGAGTGGTACTGACAGCAATGTTCTGATCGGTGGGCTCTCTGCCGTTGAGGTAGTTCTGGTTGAAGAACTGGGCCAGTTGTGGCTGGATGCGGCTGAGAGGCTGGTGCTGACCATGAAGCAACATCACCAGGTCGGACATGGTGAAAGTCTGACACACCAACATCAGCAGCTCCCCAAAGAACCCTGGACCCACGATACAAAAAAAATGTACACAATCAAGAGGGAGACAACATACATATAAATGAGACTGTATCTGATATTATAAGTAAATACAGGTTATTACTTACCCGTTGGTTCCTCGGGACTGATGAAAATGTTGGTTGACTGCGACAGCCTCTGCATGAACTGGGCGATGCTCTCCGTGTCGTTCTGACCTTGGCCCAGAGAACCCATCATGGTACTGAGGACACCGCGAACGATGCCCGTGAACAGCTCCGGGTCGAGGGCTTCAGCTGCTGCTGCTGCGCCAGGATTAGGTGTTGGGTTGGGCCTTGCCCCGGGTGCTGGAGTGGTACCAGGGGGAGGAGGGGGTGGTGAAAAGATGGGCTGGGAGGCCTAGAAATAAAGTGGAAACAATATGTTGGGGTTTAGTGACAGTTTAAATGCAGCTGATTCTTGTGAAAATGGAAAGAACTGCACATGACTCACTTGCTACCAGCCCTTCCCTTGGAAGATATTGTGATGAATAAGAACTCATTTAAAATTATGTGTGTTCCCCAAAACCTTTTTCCTCCTTATGTTTGACAGGAATCTCTTGACAGCCAATAGAGATCGAGGTGATAGAGTTGTGCTCTCTGAGTGCTCTTTTGCTTGAATATATTCAGTTTCCAATAATCTAAATTTGGACATATTTCAACAAGGTAATCCCTCCATCTTTGTATTCATTTCTTGCACAACAGAGTGCAGATCAAATCCAAAGGTAATTTGCATGTGGAGTGCATTGTGTGCACACTTGTCAAAGACAGGAACACTTACCTGCTGCATGAATTCAGCCATTCCCTGGATGAAGGCTGGGACTCCAGACGTGGTGACAGTTATCGAAGGGTTCCCCGCCGCACCGCTTCCAGTGCCGCCAGCTACCCCCAGAAGAGAACCTAGAAGCTGGCCAAGGTCTGAAGGCATCTGCTGAGGCTGGGGCTCACTGTTGTTGGTCTCGTTTTGGTTCGGGGTGGCAGCAGTAGTGTTTGTAGCAGGAGGTGGTGTTGGACCCGAGGTGGAGAAGGAAAAGGAAGAGGAAGATGAAGAGGTGTGAGAAGAGGAGGAAAAGGAAGAAGAGGTGGGTGTGGATGTAGAGGAAGAAGAGGATGTGACCGTTTGACCAGCTGCAAAAAACAAACAAACAAAAAAAATCAAAACAAACAACTAAAATACTGTTGAAGAATATGTTAACAGAAACTTTACTAAAGTAGCTTTGCATGATTTACCGTTCAAAATAATGCTTATTTATCTTATCTAAGAGAAAGAACCCTTCAATCCATCCTGTGTGGAAAAAGCTGTTTTAACTCCTCCCCTTGAATGTCATCTTCTCTTTAAGCCAACTTTGGTTTGATTGGCTGCCCCTCATAAAAGATTTAAATAAAGGTCATTATAGTTAATTATTTTTTCCAAACAGTTTAAAAAATATATCTGAAGTAATATTGTGCACTTTTAACAGTAAAACAATAGAGAATCTGTCTTTAATTGTAGTCTGCCAATTTCAACAATGCAGTAATGATGTTGTCTGTTTATTAAGAACACAGCATCTACATGACTGAGACTCTGAAGCCTTTTAAAAGTGTTGCATGCACTGAAATATCTGCTCAAAATGTCTTTGATCCTGACCCTGACAAAAACACCCCAGATAGCATCGTACAGATCCAGGAGTACAAAGGAAAAGAAACGTTTAATATGTCTCCTTTACTGAGTAGATCATCTCACCCATTTGTCCAGGGAGCAACAGCTGTCCAACCAGTCCACTAATCATCTGGTTGAGAGCAGCGGGATTGAAAGCCTGTGAGGAACATATTATTATTCATTGATAATGCTTAAATATCTCATGGAAATCATCACATTGCATTATCCCCACCTGTCCCGGCTGCTGGCCTGGCATGGCAGTCCTCACATTTATGGTGGTTCCCCGGGTACCAAAGGCAGGAGGGGGCATGTTGGGTGCAAACGGGGGTCGGGTGAAGACAACCCGTGCCTGGGGTTGGGGGCCAGTACTGGGTGGTGGCGGGGGAGCGGTAGGAGTGGTGCTGGGTGTATTAGGGCATGTGGTCGTGGCAGAGGAGCTGGCTGTGGAGCTGGGAGGGGTAGGCTGCGGTGGGGTTGGTTGGCCGGTGGAAGCTGCGGTGGCGGCGCTGGTCGCTACGGCAGCAGCATATTGGCTGATTTGTTGCATGAGATTCCTCATAAAATCAGGAGGGAGGGAACCTAAGGGTGAAACAAACGCCAGGGAATTAGTATCACATGATTTAATTTAGTGTATTTAGAGGATTTTCAGCAGTTAGCAAACGAAGGCTTTCGTTCTCAAAACAATTTTCAGTATCCCACTTGAACTGCGGCATGATGGAAAAAAATTAAGCGGACAGAAAGCTTTTCTACATCATGTGGGCAACCCCAGCTCTTGGTACTTTTTCACTTTAGGTTTTAAAAGTACTTTGGCCCAAACAGCTCTGTAGCGAACATAAACCTAAACAGTTTAAAGTCTCTGCTGTCTCAGCCAGCTAGTTAACTTAACACTCAAGGTAGGAGACCAGCGAGTCTATATCTTTCCAGCGCCAGTTTTCTGGCACAAAAATTTACGGATTAATTTCATGATCACAGATTTTGTTTATTTTCCTAAACCAATGAGAAGTGATGTTCAGCCATGTAAAAAACTAAAACACGGGGCACATAAGATTTAAATACATCCAACAAAATTCATGAGCTATGACTTTGCTTTTAGAGCAGGATAAGTTTAGTTAGATGAAATATAATAAAATTTTATTAACACTAATAGGTGTTTTTTGTGGAATGGTTGAAGAATTTACATGAATGAAACATGCCAGTAAACTATATATGTCCAGCCCTTGGTGTGACTTGAGTGAAACCGAGTTTGACACCTGTTTTACATGAAGACATTGGAATGCCGTACGCAGTATTTTTTAAACATGCTATACCTGGCTGTCCAGTCATTTGCTGTCCAGCTGTTGCCGTGTTTGCACCTGGGCCTGCACACAAACAAGAACACTCTCAGTTAAAGCTGGTCAGACTCTTCATGAATGTAACATTTGCATTATCAGAGCCATTGTGTAACAGACACTGGAAAGACCATCTTGCTTGTAAATCCCGAGTTAAAAGTCCCATTCTGCAGGTCTCTGCTTGAGCCAGCAGTGCAGATGTGGAACTTTAACTCCAGTGCAGTGACAGACACACACAGCTTGAATGGAGCATTCAATCAGTGGCGGGTAGGGGACAACACACCGTCCGTGTTCATCTGCATCATGACCACCGGGACTGCCTGGTGGCTGATCCTGATGACCCGGTGGCCAGCCTGTCCCTGTCCAGCCTGCTGATTGGACGGGGAAGTCTGTGTGGGGGAGGTCTGTCCCTGACCTGCCTGTTCCGCCTGGCTGGTCGGCTGAGTGGGCGTGGCTTGTCCCTCAGTGCTGTTAGCCGCAACAGTCACTGTGGCACCCAGGTTCATCTGTTGGTAAAGACGTAAGCAGTCAGTCTGGTTTCCTAAGAGATTTTCACTTTAGTGACTAAAGCTGCTTCCATTCACTTACTTGCACTGGGATGTGGTGGTGCATAGCTCCAGGAAGGGAGACCGGGTTGGTGTAATGAGAAAATGGCCGGACTACATGCAGGTGACGGGGGACGGGACTCATTAGGTTCAATCGCAGGTCGCTGAGAGCTACTAGTGTGTTACCAAGGAGACGCAGACACTCCCACGTCAGGGCGAGTGTTCGCTGGTCCTCCTCTCTCTCCTGTAGCAGGAAAGAAACCAATCTTGTTGAAATCTTACCTCATCTCAAATATAAGGACACTGTATAGAGATCACATTTACTTTATTTTTAATTACCTGCTTCTACTTATTTTATTGTTTGGGTTTTGAAATCTTTACATTCTACCTACCAGAGCATTACTTTACTAACCAATTAGAGCTTATTGAATACTTTACATGTTATTCTGTCATGTCTCATCTTCTTAGTGTACTTTATCCAACATTTCTTTATTAATTTTATTTTAGTCTTATTTGTATTATTTCTATGATGATGTGTCAATATAATTATTTTATTTTCTCCAGAGTTTCTAATCATTTTCTTTTTTTAATTTGTTGTTTGTCTAATTGCAATTTATTAGCATAACTCTGACGCACTTGTCAGAGGAAGAGAGGGACGATTTTGGAGCTTTAAAGGACACCACATTTGAGTATGAAGTCAGCAGAGTGAGTTATGGGTTTTTGACTGTTTAAAGTAACTTGCAGGTTTCACTTACTTTAGTCAATGTTACTACTAATCATCTATCATATATATGAAGTCTTAGTATCAGCAGTGTTTCCCATACATACACTGTACTTAAATGGGATACCCGGATATATTGACAAACACCCAAAAACATTTTACAATTTACATTTTTCATCATAGGGATGCACTGATTTGATATTTGGATCAGCTATCAGTCTGATCCTGACTCAAAAAGCTAGATCAAATATTGGTGATGCAGTATTTTCAATTCTGTTTTCACTTTGTTGTTTTTGTTACAGTTTTTCATTTAATTGTAAACCGGTTAACATCAGTGATAGCTGCAATGATCCATTCCCCCAGTGTCTAACATTAAGGACACCCGCTTGGTCAACCAATGCATCCCTGGTTATTCGTCTAAAAAAGGATTTATAAGTATCAAAGCATCTGTTATACAAAGCACTGATTAACAATGTATAGTAAAGATTTCCAGTAAATTGTTTTTTGTTTGAATCCTACTGTATTGTTGTTATATTCTGCCGTGGTGGCTGTCTCGAGGATGGTGTGAGCTCTCTGGATGAATGGTTGCAGTCTCTCCTCAACCCTCCGCAGCTCAGACAGCATCTCTGCCAGTTCAGCCGGGCTGGGATGACTGAAAGAGGAAAGAAAGGCAGACTAATTAGAATAACACATCATGACAGAGACATACAGAGAAATAAATGCACAGTTTGACCTTTGTAGAAATCTGAGTTAGCAAGCTAGATTTTGTCTCACTTGGGTCCAGGTTGCGGTGTTGGTCCCTCAGATTGAGCTGAAGAGGAGGGTGGAGGTGGGGGAGTTGTTGGAGGTGGGGAGGTGTCCATGGGCTGAGCAGAGGGAGAAGGAGTAGAGGTGGTGGAGGAAGATGATGGAGGAGGGGGAGCGGCGGCAGCAGCAGCATCGGTTGTCTCTGTTTGAGAGGACGAGTCAGTTGGTCGACCCTGAAAACCGACACAAGAAAGCAACAGAACTGTTACTGAGAAAGGCAGAGTTTCTCTGCTGAGGTATTTGGGGGGGGATAAGTGCTCACCTCCATTCGTTGGATGACATCATTGATGTCCCTCAGCAGGTTCTCAGCTAAGACCAGCCTCAGCCTTGGCTCACTCTGCACTGGCTGGTCCATATCAATGTGCACATTCACAGACCCATTGCTCTGTAACAAAGAAGGAAAGGTGACAATAAAAAAAAACAATTCAGTGTCGTGTGTAGCTGTGTACTATTATGGCATCATTAGGATGAAGTTAAAACAATGTTACAGTTACAATGCTTTAGACTAACAGCCTTATTTAACCATACGTGGTTTTACTTTATACGCTTTAAGCACTACATCTACAAACCCAATTCCAGCAAGTTGAGACACTGTGTGAAATGTAAACAAAAACAGAATGCAATACATTTCTTAAGCCCATACTTTATCCATAACAGAACATAGAAAACACATCAAATATTCAAACTGAGACACAATTTCATGGAAAATATTCACTAATTTATCAGCAGCAATGTGTTGTTAAAATAATGAAAAGAAAAAAAAAAGTTGAGTGGGGACAAAAAAGGCTGGAAAAATAAATGGTACTAAAAAGAGACAGCTGGAGGAACATTTTGCAACTAATTAGTTTAACTGATTAGAGAACAGCATCACAGGACTGCATCAGTGCCTGTGGCATCATGATGCTGAAAAGTATATACAGGTGTTAGAGACATTTGCCTCCAGCCAGATGACATTTTGTTCAGGGAAAGCCTGTTTCAGCAAGATGATTCTAAACTGCATGCTGCATGTATTACAACAACAAGGTTTAATAGCAGGAAGTTCCAGGTGCTGAACTGGTCTGTCTGCAGTTAAAACCATTAGAAAACCATTAAAAAAATATGACATGAGCCGGCATGGTTGCAGCAGCTAGTCTCCTCATTCCCAGATGTTTATGGACTCTTGTTAAAAGAAGAGGGAATCCTCCCCAGCAGTAACATAGTCCTAGATTTCAAGGCCATGTTTTCTAAGCTTTCTCTGAGACATGTTGTTGCTAAATTTAAAACGAGTAAACATTTTCTCAGTTTAACATTCTGATATGTAATGAAACTGCAAATTATTTAATTCTGCTTTTATTTACATTTTTACATAGTTACCAAAAATTTTTGGATTAGGACTGTACTTTTATATTTCTGACTAATTGTCAATCAACTATTAATTGAACATCCATGTTTTGGGGGTGCAGGAGGAAGGCGGTGTACCACACAGGGAGAACATGCAAACTCTCACCCCAGTGCTGGTTGTGACTCTGGCATTCCTGGCATTCTCTCCCATGCTGGACACCATTTGCTGGACTGACATCTATATGAAGAGATTCAGGGATAGAATGACCAAAATGAAAACATTATTAAGAGAAACCAACAGAGGGAATATTGCATATAGACGTTAAATTCAAAGCAGAGGATCTCTCTGCTACATGTCATAATAATCAGTAGTAATCAGTAATGGAATAATAACATCAGTTCTCTGAGTTGCTTTTCATCACCCTTTGGTTATATCTGAACCTTTGCATGTGACGTTGGACCATAAGTATAACTTGAGAAGATAAAGCAGACCAACCTGTATTTGCTGGGGATCCATGATGTTGACAGGGAGGTTGAATGTGCCAAGCATTACGTAGCTGTTAGCGTTGCGATCGTGTGGAGGCACTTGCGATGTTCCCTGGGAGGAAGAAGATGGCCCACTCTCAGCTGAAGAGCCTCCTGACCCTGAGCCGGGCTGTGAGGGTGGAGGGGGCGCTCGCTCCACCAGGTGGATCACTTTTCCACCCACATCTGGTAGAGACAGTCATATACAGTTACACATCTCCAATCATACTTCAAGAAGAAAAAAAAAAAAATCGCATTTCTAACACGGAGACTCTACTTGAATGCACTACCCAGGTATTCTGCTAGCCGCTCGACTGTCTACTCGATAGATATGATGCTTGTCTGAGTCGGGGGGTAGCAGTCTAACCAGGAGCCCAGTCCTCTCCCTCTCCATGTCTTCTGGGGGGGGAACATGTGGCATCAGGGCATTTTCAAGCCAAAAAAAAAAGAAAATCTCTCCAGTGCATTCTGGGTTTGTTTTGGAAGCCTCTTCCTGCTATGACAGGCCAAAAACATTTGACCTAAGAGGCGCTCAGGACGCAGCCTGGTCAGATGCCTGAACTGGCTCCTTTCAATGCAGAGGGGTAGCAGTGCTACTCTGATCCCCTCCTGAGTGATGAAGCTCTTCAACACATTTCTAAGAAATCCTTTAGAGCAAGCCCATTTCAGCAATTTGTTTCAGTTACTACTCACAGCTTGTGGCCATAAGTGGGGATAAGACTGTAGCTTAACAGCTAAACTGACAGCTTCACTTTGAGCTCTCTTCAGCATAAAAGACCAGTACTGACCAACATATAATTTATCATATACGACTGGATTCTGTGGAGAACATTGTAACTGATTATCAAAATGACACTCATTTTCTGCCAAATACATCTTGCAGTTAATTACACATAGCTGTTACATTCTTTCTCAGCAATGGCCCACATCATCAACACAAATCTTTTTAAAAAGCAGCAGCAACTCTTAAAACACCATAGTAAATTCAAATTTATCTGTAACCAAGTGTAACCAAAATGTTAAGAATTCATTCTCTGTGTAATACCAAATACCCAAAAAACAAATTTCCTACTTTCCAGGAGGAAGTACAAAGACCAACAAGTGACAATCTAGTTCTGCATTTTATTCTTTATTTGCTTACTGTAGTCTGTCAGAGTCCTTTCGTCCTGCAGCACTCTGCCCTGGTAGATCAGCCTCTGTTTATCGACTGGTATACCCACTGAAGGGGCAATGTGCTCCTTGAACTCTTTCACCGTCAGCTACAACAAAGATTGAACAGACATGAGTAACGCCACAGGAAAGATGAACTAAGACTGAGAATTTCCTCCTGAGTTTGCAATGCGTGTACTTACCTGAGCACCAACAGTGTAGGTTCTGCTCTGGGAGTCTAATGTTTTCACCGTCACCTCTATGTCAGCAGTTTGTTCTTCCATTGTGTTCCTGTAACAGAAAGATGTATTTTCCAGTGTTTATAGCTCAGCTGAAACTGGATTCTTAAGGTAAATATGATGACTGTTATGTGAGAGTTTAAACACTTTGATGATTTGAAATCCTCTCATATTTCTTTCTTAACATAAACATCTACTTTTAAACATCTCTGTGAGATGTCAAATGGAACATTTGGGACTAATTAGGACAATTTACAGTATAAAACAAAGACTCTCACTTAAATTATCACAAACATATCTTTTGTCATTTGATTCTTGCTGACTCAAAGGGTCTGTAAAAACCTGATGTCCCAGCCAGTAATTACCAACTGATACTGCTCCTACAGCTATGGCCAATTATAATGTTTATTCTCAATTAATGTGTTAATGTTTACTCACAGGGTCTATAAAATGTAAAAAGAATATATCAAAATAGCTACAAAATATTGTGGTTGTTGTAACTCCTAGGTAAAAAATATATATATTCAGAAATGTAGAACATATAAGGAAGCAAAACACTGTATCGACCTATAGCAAAACTAAAAAAAAACAAAAAAAACCCACCATAAAATGTTAACTACAATACTTTTCTTTTCAAAAAAATATGTGCATCCTCTTGTAATAATAATTAACAATATTTAACTATTTTATTTATTTACAGCAATTTTTCCTCTACTAATGTTTTCTCAGTTATTTTCCTCTTTATTGGTGGACCACTCATGATGTTGTGGCACTAATGTGGCAAAATACCATTTCCTCACTTATCATTTTAAATGTTAAAGTTCATGATAGTAAATTTATTAAAAGACTGAACAAGCTGACAAAAATGGCCATAGCCATCTCTCTCTAACACAATTAGATTTGCAAACTTGCATCTGAACAAACTACAAGAACAGTGCCCTTTGGACAGACAAGACAATTGTGGAGATACTTGGCCATAATACACATGGCAGTGGATTAAACCAAACACAGCATATCAGCACAAACGTCTTATACCAACTGTCAAGCATGTGGTGGAGGGGTGATGTTTTGGGCTTGTTTTGCAGTCTAGGATGTGGGCACCTGCAGTCAGTGAGTGGATCATAAATTTCTCTGTATGTCAAAGTATTCTAGAGACAAATACGAGGGCATCTTTTCAATAACTAACTCTTGTCTACAACAGAACAGCTGAAAAAGAAAACAATCAAGGTGTTTTAATGAGCAAACCAAAACAAAATCTAAAGTTCACACTGCAATCTGATGTAATTGACAGGAGAGCTTTGTATAAATGAATGCCCGCCTATCTCAATGAACTGAAGCACAAACCATATGTAAAGAAGAGTGAGACTGATAATATCATACAGATAAAGATTACTTCAAGCCGATGCTGGTAAAGGTGTTTCAATAAGCTACTGAATCATGTGTGTACTTAGTTTTTCAAAGTAGGGCAGTGCGATATGACCAAAATCTGATATCCCGATATAAGAATTCTATCGTTGATAATGATATAAATCACAAAAATGTAACATTTTCTGTAAATTCTGTGAATCTCAGAAAGACTAACGTTTGAGTCTAAGGTTGTTGTTTTTTTTATTAGCTTTTTTACTTCTCATTCGTAAATAATCTGCTCTTTCACGTGATTCGGTTTATTTTGAAAAGTCTCAACAGGATCTTGAGCTTTATTGTGAAAGGTTTATGTGGAACATAAACAAGTGGACACGCATAAAAACAGGCGCTTGTCCGTCTATAGTGTGGTTATATTAAATATAAGAGAAAGAGAGAATTGTAAGAAATTAATATAGCCATACAGTGACCATCAAAACGATGAAAAAATATTGCCGTAAACAGTTTATTTTGCGACACCACGAAACAACCGTTAGTGTAAAATGAAACGATAGACGTTTTTATATCGTCATCCGATATATATCGTTATATCAAACAGCCCCATTTCAAAGGACACATTTACACATAACACACATGCTTTGTGATCAAGGTCATGGTAACAGTAGACAATGTAACACGTAGGAGAAGATATGTGAGAAACTGATAATGTCTTACAGAAAACCATTACTTCAATGTAATGATGCTAAGGGTGATTTTACAGGCTACTGGATTATTGGGACTCCATAGTTTTTCAGACACTACTTCTGCATTTTGAGTTAATTGTTGTTGAACTTTAACACAGTGTCATATGTCATGTAAGTATGTTATAATTTTCATGCGTATTAACAAACTAGTTATTATCACCGGATTTGCAAAGCCTTGAAAATAAGCAGAAGATGCATTATGCTTATACCATGGTTGTAAGGATAAGGTGTGTCTTGTTTTCCCCTCTCATTTCGTTTGAAATGTTTACCTAAAGAATATTTTTTCGCCACCATCTTACTTGTCTTGACAACTACACAGAATATGAATTTATAAAGAAAGTAGTGCCACCCGCAGGTGCAGAAAACTTCAGTTGCATGTTCCTTAAAACCAACAACAAAAACATGCAACGATTTTTTGTACAAACCACCGATGTAAAACCGAAGGAAACAGTTGAGTCCGATCAGCTAAACACTTGCTCCTGTTGTTTTGGACTTTGCGTGCTCGGTAACATCGTAATGTTGAGTAGTTAGCCGAGGAACCGAGGCTGCTTCATGCTGGGCCAGACACCGACCTGCATTGTCTTTATTTAAGCCTTTTATTAATTTAACTGTTAGAACTGTGGTATTTGACTCTACTTCTGTTTAACAGAAATTACGTGTAACAGTAGCTTACTTAGCCGCCAAAGGTTTGCTAGCATGAATTAGCTTTGCTTAACTTGGAAACCTGGCAGACGTCACGAACGAAGCTAACTTTGAGCTAACTAGCTAACGCTACTAAAACGGAACGTTAAAATTAGCATAGCAATCCGAGACAGTGTGAAATTTAGTTTTAATTAAGTCCGTGTCGTTAAACAGTTACCTTAAAAGTTACTATCCTCTCGACGTATCCAGTGTATGCAGCTGTTTTCTTATCATCAGCTAGCATGCAAACGACTTCCCTGTAGCTTCTCTGGTACTTGCCAGAAACTGCCAGGCTACACGGATATGACGTCTAGGCGGCACCGGAACCACTGCGCGTGCAGAGGGTGAAAGGAAAGAAAAATGGCGAATCTCGTGGAGGCGACTACCCAACAGCAGTTTGAAGATTTCTTAGCCAAAGCTGGAAAATGCCTGACCGTGGTGCATTTTCAAGCGGCGTGGGCTCCTCAGTGTGGCCAAATGAACGAGGTGATGGCCGAACTAGCCAAAGAACATGCGCACACTACGTTCGTGAAGCTGGAGGCGGAAGCGGTCCCGGAGGTGTCGGAGAAGTATGAAATTTCCTCCGTCCCCACTTTCCTTTTTTTCAAGGGGGGAGAGAAAGTGGACAGCCTGGACGGGGCTCACGCTCCGGAACTGACTAAGAAAGTGCAGCGCCTCGCAGTGAGCGAGGGTCCCGGTGGAGCCGCTGAGGGCAGCGGCGCAGATCTGAACCAGCGGCTGAAGAAGCTGCTCAACGCCGCCCCCTGCATGCTCTTCATGAAGGGGTCACCCCAGGAGCCCCGCTGCGGATTCAGCCGACAGATAGTGGCGCTGCTGAAAGAGCACAAAATCCAGTTCAGCAGCTTCGACATCCTGTCCGATGAGGAGGTCCGACAGGGGCTGAAGACCTACTCCAACTGGCCCACCTACCCCCAGCTGTATGCGAACGGGGAGCTGGTGGGAGGACTGGACATAGTGAAGGAACTGGCTGAGTCCGGAGAGCTGGAGAACACCTGCCCGAAGGCTGTCACCTTAGAGCACCGACTGAAGACCATCATCAATCAGAGTCCAGTCATGCTGTTCATGAAGGGCAAGAAAGAGGCTGCCAGATGTGGCTTCAGCAGGCAGTTACTGGAGCTTTTGAACGGTACTGGGGTGGATTATGACACCTTTGATATTCTGCAGGATGAAGAAGTGCGGCAGGGGCTCAAGACTTACTCTAACTGGCCAACCTACCCTCAGCTCTACGTGAAAGGAGAGCTTATCGGTGGTTTGGACATTGTCAAGGAGCTGAAGGAGAGTGGAGAGCTGGTATCAGTCCTGAAAGGGGAGTAGTAGATGGATCTGCATTGGCCATCTGAGGGAGGGAACAAGAAGCTGCTGCACATACCCAGATTAGCTCCAGTAACCCTGCAGAAGGGTCAAAATTTTCTCTAGTAACTAATTGTATTGCAGCAGGGGGATAGATTCACTATAATTACAGACAGAAATGAAACTGCTGTCAACAGTAAGAATTTACATCTGTTTTCCTTTCTGGTAATGGTCATTACTGGAAAGTTGGGCTACTAGAAATTCACTTAAGTAAATACTTCTTGCTGTCTGATTCTTGGAAAACTAATGACGTTAGTTCACAATATCTGCATTTTTTGGGATTATAGCTTTCCTTCCAGTGTTGACAGCCTCACGCTTCAGTACGTTATATAAACTTTTATTTTCCTACCCAGGCCAGCTGCTCACTGTTCACACCGTCCTGTCTGCACATTCTCCTCCAAGCTGTTTTTAAGCTCTGTGCAAGGATCACTCTGTTAACAAGCTATGCGTGTTTGTCAGTAAGATTACGATTAAAAATTAAAACAATTGAAAGTGTTTTTTCTCTTATTGTTTAATCTGTAAGCATTCAATCTATTCACCCTGTAAGCATTAGGAAACTGAGGAGACAACTGTTGTAGATTATTTATTTACTCAGTAGAGGAGACGATACAATAAGAGACGAGCCGCCCTGTAACAATGAAGCAGCTACATTGAAGCGCAAGATTTGACAGCCAGGTAATAGAACTAACAAAGTCTGGCTAAATATGTGTGATTCTCCTGAGGGGTAGAAGAAAATTACCACTTACACAAATCCTTTGTTTACAACACAGTTTCAGGGATGGATCTAGGTTTCTACATGGTTTTTCATTGACGTGAAACAACACCATCATGCACGCTGGCTTTAAGCTGGCCTCTGACACTAATCCCTTATGGACCTTCTTTTATTCAGGAGGATTTCTTTTTGTTTGGGTAAAGGACATTTTCCCACTTCTTAGTACAGCTTAACTGTGCAACATTTCTTGTATAAGCCTCAGACTCACAAGCTTAGAGACCAAAATTCAGTTTCATTTGAATGGAAAGAGCCCGAATAATTAATCAAAAGTCCAGAAAAAACACACTATATAATAGTTTTGAGTGAAATATGTATTTAATCCCCAAGAAAAACATCACTCAGTATGTGGGGTATTTTATAAGTACATGAACTTTGACCTATTGTCAATGTGGAGAAGCCTTCCCTGTATTTACTGCTCAGCTTCAGTGAACATCTCACCTTTTTTCCCCCAGTTTATATTTTTTCACCATTGCACAATATTTTTATTCTTTTATTTCGATGTCAAAACTTTTTTGAAGCATGTCTAAATATACTGGTTATAAAATGAAACTTTAAAAATGCATCAAATCTCAATTTAGGAAACAAATCAGGTTGGTTATCTACACAGCAGGAACGACAGTCTATCACCGAGGTTCATGTGTGTTATTTTGAAATTGAGTTAGAGCTGTGTTACACACCTGCTTCCACAAGGTGGAGTTGTTACACCTAATTAACTTTCTCCAGATAATTCACACTTGAAAACAAATAAATAAAAATCAGTTTTTCTACATCGTAAGTCTCATAATATTATATTATATATTATATCATAATATCTCATAATATTAGCTTTACCTGGCAGCGTCAGATAGATAATGTCCCAGAGGTGTTCTATTGACTTAGGTCAGGTGAGTGTGGGGTCAATGGTATCAGTTCTTTCATCCACCAGGAGCTGCCTCTTGCAACAAGTGGTTGGGCATTGTTGTGCTCCAGGAAGAACCCAGAGCCCACTGCAGTAGTGTACTTATTAACTTACAACTCTGTAGGATCCTTGTATTGCCTCCTGCTACCAGTAGTGACAGTGACCCTAGCCAAAAGCTAAACTAGTGTAAAAACAGTCAGAAAAGATGCAGCGGGAGAAATGTCCTCCACCCTTAAAACCAATCCTGTTTTGGGGCTTTCTCATTGTTTTCCCTCTAGTGCACCTGCATTTAATTTCATTAACACCAAAGCGGCTGAACCCGATTAAAAATTCCCCAAACTGACCAGAAGTTTAACTGACTTGTTTTTATACTCTACTCATTATAGTTTATCATCACTTTATTGTAGGAAACAACATAATTTGATCACAATTATGTAACCGTATGCAAAAAAACCCCAAATTGAAATGAAACTAATGTGATGTGATTTTTGATGTAGGAAAAAAACTTTCCTTATTTACTTTGAAGTGTGAATTATCTGGAGAAAGTTAATTAGGTGTAACAACGCCACCTTGTGGAAGCAGGTGTGGAACACAGCTCTAAGCAGAATTCAAATGAACACAGCAGAGACTTCTTCATACATGAGACATGAAACGGTCAGTTATTCAATTAGCTGTTCAAAATATTTTGGCAATTATTCATAGTCTTTAAAACTGGTCATTTACAGGGAATGTTTGCTTAGTTTTGTTATTTATTTATTGATTATTGTTTTGTTAATAGCCTTAAACTAAATATTCTTTGTGTTTTGATACAATTGTTTTCTTGACTTTTTTTTTTTAAATCAGAAGCAAACCCGATTGAGAGAGCCGTGTGTGATTCTTAATAATTCAGTAATTTAGTTCTCCCAAACCTAGTATGGGAAGACGAAACAGGAAGTTAATGATTCCTAGTGTGTGTGTGTGTGTGTGTTGACAGAAGGTGTGGGACGCAGGGCAGGATGAACACAAACAAAGTTAAAACTTGGGGTTGTTGTTTGTTATGTTCGTGAGAAAATTTGGTTGGTTCCAGTTTAGAAATAGCCACAAACACCTCCTACATATGATGATGAGTCAGTGATGGTGAGTTTTTAGCGAGTTTATTCCTTTCAGAAAATGTTGGATGAGTAAGAATACCTGTGAGAATAAATGTCTCAGTTTCCTATAAATGTATTTTATCCTGACGCTGAAGTTTTACGTTCATGGATGCAAACATCCCATTTCCAACCTATTATTTACCTTTAAAGTTCAGGGGTAATGCTGCTGTGCAGATTAATCATTTACCTCCACCCACACTGATAAAGTGGTCTGTTGGAGTATTGCACACATTCAGAGACAATCCTGGGAGTTTCCGGGCATTTTGATCAGGATTACTACAAAGTGTTGACTTAGACTGCAGCTATGTTAAAAGAAGTCTTCTCTCTTGTTCTGTCTTTGTACACTTTGTTGTATCAGACCATCGTTCCCTGCTTGGAGCCTGAGATGCTGTCTGTGAACGCGATCGACCGGCAGAAGGTGAGAGTAAAAATCAAAGGTAGAGGTTTAGATTTATGAAAATACCAAAGGCACTTCCCTCACTGGTCTGAGGGTTTTTTTATGATAACCTCAGTACGACGGGATTTACTGTTGACCTTATTGCGTAATGTTCTGGTTAAGTGCATCTTATCTGTACAGGATTGGTATTTCACACTTACTACAACTGCAGAGAGATTTACCGAGATAAATATTAAGTACAACCACAAAGATGCACTTCCTACTCCCTCTGGTCTTTCCATAAGTGGTCTTTTGACGTGGGCTATTTTAAATAGCTTTCGTTCTCATACAGTTACTGCTACCCCGCACTGTCATGTCACACTCTGTGTGTGTCTGTTGCAGCATCTGGGGACATGGTACTTTAAAGCTGCAGTCAGTCACAGAGAGGCGGACATCCAGAAGTTCAGAGTGCTGGACAACATTGTCTTCACCATGGAGGAAAGAGCAAACGACACACTGCTGCTGACTGGACACATGCGCATGTGAGGCAGCAAGTTCAAGCACACACACACACACACACACACACACACACACACACACACACACACACACACACACACACATTTTCAAATCTTTCATTTCTTTCTGGCCTTTGACACCAC